AATATTATAAACAAACATTTTGTTTATGATTATATTCATTTGTCCAACTACATTTGAGCCCCTGAAAATGGAGGGCCTATCTATCAAAAAGGGATGCAGTTCCTAAAATTTGTGTTTGATATTTATGTTCAACCCCTTGAATTAAAGCTGAAAGTCTTCACTTCAATATCATTTGGATTGTTTAGTTTTAATTTATTCCTGTGACATACAGAGCCAAAAGTATGAAAATTGGGCCTGTGTCCAAATATATATGGACCTAAAAGTATGTAAAGTCAAAACTTTATTTTAGTTTTGGATAGCGTGTAGAAGGATTAGAATACAACATACCTGTTATGTTTTTATTGATGTCTGTGCCTGTGCTACGGATATTCTCTCTCTCTATTTGTCCTGGTGACCAGGATTTACCTCACATTTAAGTAATTTTTTTTCATGTGATGTTGTGTCTACAGGATAGGAAATAAAGAGAAATCTCTTAAACAGAACATAGTTGTCAAAATTAAAAAAAAAAAAAACTGACAGAGGTTTTAACCATTTCCTACTCTATCCAAGAGTAATTTTACTACAGCTACCATTCTCACAAGTAGATCTAGAAACAACTCTAAAAAGCTCCTCTATACCTTGTATATTTCAAAAACGACAAGCAAGTTAGTAATAATGGAAACTGAAATCACCACTGGAGTGTCAGATTCTTCACTTGAAGCAAACTCATGCTTACAAATTGAAAAACAACACAGTTCAACTGGAAGTCATAAGCAACACTCAGTGTAGGATTTCCTGGATAGATACATTCATATTACTAGGACAGCAAGCAAATATTTTTAGCCTGCTTGTAACATTATATAGCAGACATTGTACATAAAATAGCTCCATGAATAAGGTAGTAGTGAGACCACGAGAACCCTGACAGCCGGTAGCATAAATCATGCATAGAATTTGAGATTGACATTTCATATTATGTGTCTCTTCTAAGAAGGCACATATATTTCAGTTAATCTAAATATAATCATTGCAAAGGAAAACTCTAGTAAAAGTACTGTAAATTCTGTCTGTCATTCAAATCATTAAGTATGTTCTACCTTGCCCCTTTAAATCATGTAAACTTGGTAAGCTGTCCGCATTTGGTAGATTTTCCCTAGCATCATGTCACCTTCTAAATGAAAGCCGTCCAAAATGTGTCTTCATTTGAAGATTTCTTATTCACTTTTTGTAGATAACTGAAATTTTTAGATCTTTCCCCATAGTACTATGTCATCAGAACAGCGAATGGAGGTGGATCTCCCCAAAAAAATGTACAGTGGTGATAAATAATTGAACTGAGAACTAGTAGCTATTTGTGGAATTGTTGTATCATCATTTTTCCTGGTAGAGTAGCAGCAAGATGAGGCTGCAATGCATCCTCAAAGAGTCTTTCAACTTGTACAGTACCTTGTCCTTTCTGCCCTCTCCAAATTTGATAAGTGACTGCCCAGTTTGTGATAACACCACCCTGGAGAAGGTAAAGAGGAGCTCCAGTTTGGTAGTTTGTTTTTTTTTTGTGTGGATGAAGTAGAGCAGGGGTGTAAAACTGGCGGCCTTCCAGCTGTTGCGAAACTACCCATCATGCCTCTGCCTTTGGGAGTCATGCTTGTAACTGTCAATCTTGCAATGCCTCATGGGACTTGTAGTTTGGCAACAGCTGGAGGGCCACCAGTTTGACACCTGTGAAGTAGAGACTGGTTAAAACTTATTCTATTTTTTGCCATTTGTGTGCTATTGAAGACATCTGCCTTCATGTTCCATCCTATAGATACAACAGCAAGAAACATCTTTAAAATGAGAGAAATCCCCTCTTAGCTAGTTGTGACCAGAACTGGTGTCCCCATTGGAAGATTGGCCCTCCACAGTCACCTAAATAAATAAGAAGGTAATTCTCCCTAAAAGGAACACATACAGCAATAAAAACCTGACAGGAATTTTAAAACAGTAGCTGATACTGAGTGCTATTGATATAGAGCCAAATTAATAGAGACCAGTAAAGTATTAAGAATTAGCAAGGAGGATGACAATGTTATCCAAAGTAAAAAAGAAGGATTGTATTATCCACTTGAAAGGAATTAAAATCATTGTTCATAGTCATATGTCCAATGTAAACGAAAGGAAAAAGTGGGTGGTATAGCCCAAATGTGTGAATGTGGTCAATAAAATTGGCTTACTGCTGAGGAAACCGGTACATTCGGACCAGGGTGCAGGAGGCAGTGGAGAGGAATCCTGTGGGTTGCTCTTCTGGAAGATAGATCACCAACTGTGAGAAGGTACCACTCACAGAACAGGATGCTGCCTCATGTCATCATCCTTGCTATTATTTAATACTTTGCTGGTCACTATTAATTTGGCTCTATACTAATAGCGCTCAGTATCAGCTACTGTTCTATTCACCTATATCTCCTATGGTTTATTGAGCAGCTGTGGTTATAGCCTTCATAACCTACAAGACCTCATTTTGGTTGCCAGCGCCGAATAAGTTTGTCAGTTTCTTTTACAGGAATTTTAAAGGCTAAGTTCACCTTTTTTATAAATTCCAACTTCCCTATGTACCATTGTTACCATTACCTTACCTCTTTAGCAGAAAAGAAAAGCTTTCTATAATATCCTAGGTCAGCCCTTACCACAACATCCAGACTGTTGTTTAATCACTTGCCCTCCAGAGGATTCCCCCTCCCCCCCATCTTGACCAGACCATTTTTTGCGATACGGCGCTGCATTACTTTAACTGACAATTGCGTGGTCCTGCAACTCTACACCCAAATGAAATTTAGTCCTTTTTTTTCCCACAAATGGAGCTTTCTTTTGGTGGTATTTGATCACCTCTGCATTTTTTATTTTTAGCTTTATAAATAAAAAAAGACCGACAATTTTGAAAAAACAATATTTTTTACTTTTTTCTATCTAGTAAAAGTTTTTTAAAAATATCAAATTTCATCATAAATTTAGGCCCAAATGTATTCTGCTACATGTCTTTGCTAAAAAAAAATCCCAATGTGTGTAAATTAATTGGTTTAAGTGAAAGTTATAGAGTTTACAAATGGCGGTAGATATACTAGAATTTATTTTTATCATACTAGTAATTGCGGCGATCAGTTGGACTGTGGAGGGCATTCTGACACTGACTAACTGCCAATGACATCCCCAGTGACACTAATACAGTGATCAGTGCTAATAAAAAGCACTGACATTGTACTAATGACACTGGGCAGGAAGGGGTTAGCATCTGGGGCGATCAAAGGGTTAACTGTCTGCTGGTTTACTATGTACAGTTGCAAGAAAAAGTATGTGAACCCCTTGGGATTACCTGGAGTTTTGCATGAATTGGGCATAAAATGTGCTCTGAACGTCATCTAAGTCACAACAATAGAAGAACACAGTCTGCTGAACATAATACTACACAAACATTAGATGTTGCCATGGTTTAATTGCACATGCAACTGTATGCTGTGTTTTTTTACTGTGTAAGCATGCTGCTTTGCATTGGCGGGCAATCTCCAGCCGGGACCCAGTGATCAACAGCTGTAACCGACAATGGCAGGGTGGCGCGAGCGCGCCCTTTACCCGGAAATGCAAAATCACATATATATGTGATTTTGCGCAGCCCTGCCACCCTGTAGCAGTAGTTCTGCTGTAGAGCGGTGGGGAAGCGGTAAAAAAACTCCATTATTTCCTGGATCGCCAACTTTAAATCTATAGATCTTTAGATCTAAAGATGTTGGGAAAGCCATTAAGACACAGGAAGGAGTTCACCAGCTGACCTCATTAACACACACCCTGTACCTGCCCTCCCCCTCCAGGAGATTGCTCCCACCCACCTCTGTACTCACAATCAATGTCAAGGGACAACATTGTCACTGAATACACAGCCTTAGATCTACCACAAACTATGTAGAGCAAGAGCCTGTTTGATTGGATACAAAGTGATTGGATAGATAGCGCATGCTGTGCCATGCATTTCAGAATGGAAAGTTCATCATGTTTGCGTTGTCATTACAAGTTAAGAGCACCCAAGTCAAGTGCAGGTAGCAGGCATGTAAAATACAGTAAAAAAGTGAGCGCTCTCTAGTAAGCAGGTATAGCACTCAAGGCAACCAATATAAAACCTTATTCAAGCATAGAAAAAAAAGTGCAGCACTAAGAAAAATTATAAAATTATATGATCATTCGTCCTGCCTTATGCTGAAGAGGAAATGCCCTTGAAATGGGTGTTCCAACAAGACAACGACCCCAAACACACCAGTAAACGTGCAATATCTTGATTCCAGACCAACAAGATTGACGTTATGGAGTGGCCAGCCCAATCCCCGGATCTTATTCCAATAGAAAATTTGTGGGGTGACATCAAAAATGCAGTTTCTGAGGCAAAACCAAGAAATAGAGAAGAACTGTGAAATGTAGTCCAATCATCCTGGGCAGGAATACCTGTTCACAGGTGCCAGAAGTTGGTTGACTCTATGCAACACAGATGTACAGCAGTTCTCAAAAACAGTGCAACTAAATATTCATTAACTAGTTGCCGACCGCAGATAGCCGAATGACGGCTGTACTGCGGCCGGCCAGTTCTGAGTGGACGTCATATGACGTCCTCCCAGAACGCGCTCTCCTGCACGCCCCAGGGGGCGCGCACCTGGCGATCTCCGTGATCGCTGTGTCCTACGGACACAGCTGATCACGTGATGTGGTAAAAGGCCAATCACAGCGGCCTTTTACCACGTGATCAGCGGTGTCCAATGACACGCTGATCAGAGGGAAATGCAAGTGCCGGTTCTCGGCTGCACTTTCCTCACGCTGTCAGATCGTGAGGAAAGTACTGCCGAGAACCGGCAGTTGTCAGAGCGGGGATCGGCACTGATGATCAGTGCCCTGATGATCGGTGCCCAGCAGTGCCACCCGCAAGTTCCGCCCACCTGTGCCCAGCAGTGCGCCCACTAGCTCCGCCCACCTGTGCCCAGATCACCCACCTGTGCCCAGCAGTGCACCCACCTGTGCCACTCATCAGTGTCACACACCTGTGCCCAGAAGTGCACACCTACCTGTGCCCAGCAGTGCCACCCACCTGTGCCCACCAGTGCCACCCACCTGTGCCCAACCACCAGTGCCGCCCACCAGTGCAGCCCAGCAGTGCTGCCAGTCAGTGCCGCCAGTCAGTGCCCAGCGGTTGTGCCAGTCAGTGCCGCCAGTCAGTGACCAGCAGTGATGCCAGTCAGTGCCGTCTATCAGTACCCATCATCAGTGTCACCTATCAGTGCCGCCTATCAGTGCTGCATATTAGTGCCGCCTATCCGTGACACCTCATTAGTGCTGTCTATCAGTGCCACCTATCCGTGCCACCTCATTAGTACTGCCTATCAGTGCCCTTTAGTGCTGCCTATCAGTGCCCATCAGTGCCGCCTATCAGTGCCCATCAGTGGTGCCTCATCAACGCACATCAGTGAAGGAGAAAAATTACCTGTTTGAAAAATTTTATAATAGAAACAAAGAAACTTTTTTTTTTCAAATTTTTTGCACTTTTTTTATTTATAGCGCAAAAAAAAAGTGCCCAGTGGCGATTAAATACCACCAAAAGAAAGCTCTATTTATGAGAAAAAAATGATCAAAATTTCATATGGGTACAATGTTGCATGACCGCGCAATTGTCAATCAAAGTGCAGCAGCGCTGAAAGCTGAAAATTGGCCTGGTAAATAAGGGGGTATAAGTGCCTGGTAGGCAAGTGGTTAAGTGATTCAAAGGAAAGCAAAATCTTCAAACATTTTTCAGTTTATATAGTGAATGTTTGAGTTTATAAAGAAGAATACAAACACTGCTATTTTTTTGAACAGTCTAATATTTACTTTTCTTCAATTTCTTTAGAGGAACAACACAAATTTGATATGTTTTTCTTCATGTTTTGATTTGGAATAGAATGTGTAGTGTTCCCAATGCATTTGTGTGTATGGAAATAAAAGCTATTAGAAGGATTTTGAGCTTTATTCACTTTTTTCAACACACTGCTATTATTTTGAACACAACTGTATATTATTTAGTCTTTTTGAAATTTCCAGAGTCTACAAACTATGGCATATATATTTAAAAATTGGTTAGTCCTGATGTACTGAGGGTCATTTCTTGAGGCCCTAAAATGTCAGGACAGTGCAAATACCCCCAAATGACCCCTTTTTTGGAAAGTAGGCAGACCAAGGTATTTAGTATGATGAGTTTTTTGAAGTTGTAATTGTAGGCTGAGGCCACGTCTTATCATTTATTCATCTGGGCTGGTCAGAAGTAGCAGCGATCCTTTCCTCTTTACATTTACTAGCCCTCTGAAGAAATCACAGCTTACTTCCCACTGTGTGATACTCAGTGCCATATTCTTAGTGAAGCTAAAAGCTGTGATATTCTTACAGGACAGAAAAAGAAGAAAAAGGTTGCACATTGACGGAGACAAGGAGGAGGATTGCTTTTTTTTTTTATGAGTTGGAGATCTACTTTAAGCTCTGATATCTTACAGTAAGCACTAAATTTTAATGAGATCCCCAGTTCTAAGATTAGGCCCCAGGATCCCTGGCCTTCTCATCTCTGGGCTATCTAGCTTTGCTGCTGGTCATTTTCCTTTTTGACATCACCAGAGTGGTCTGAGGTGTGCATGTGGTTTCTCACCTTTTTTTTTTTTTTTTGATTAGTTGTTTTGATGAAGGCAAGAATATTACAAAACCAAATTTCAATAAATGCAATGATGACCAAAAAGAACATATTGCTCTCTTCACTCATGTCTTTGCAGCCGATGTCCATATGTGTGTATATATATATATATATATATATATATATATATATATATATATATATTGCCAAAAGTATTGGGACACCCCTTCAAATCATTGGATTCAGGTGTTCTAATCACCTCCATGGCCATAGTATTAAATCAAGCACCTAGGCATGTTTCTACAAATATTTGTGAAAGAATGGGTCGCTCTCAGAAGCTCAGTGAATTCAAGTGTGGTACCGTGATAGGCTGTCACCTGTGCAATAAGTCCAACGGTGAAATTTCCTTGCTAAATATAAAGTGGAAGCAACTGGGAACAACAACAACTAAGCCACAAATAACAGCGGAGTCAACGCATGCTGAAGAGCACAGTGCGCAGAAGTCGTTAACTGTCTGCAGAGTCAATAGCTAAAGACCTCCAAACTTCATGTGGCCTTCAGAATAGCACAACAATAGTGTGTAGAGAGCTTCATTGAATGGGTTTCCATGGCCGAGCAGCTGCATCCAAGCCTTGTCATCACCAAGTGCAATGCAAAGCGTCGGATGCAGTGGTGTAAAGCACACCGCCATTGTACTCTAGAGCAGTGGAGACGTGTTCTCTGTAGTAATGGATCACACTTCTCTGTCTGGCAATCCAACAGACAAGTCTGGGTTTGGCAGTTGCCAGGAGATTGATACTTGCCTGACTGCATTGTGCCAAGTGTAAAATTTAGTGGAGGGGAGATTATGGTGTGCGGTTGTTTTTAAGGGGTTGGGCTTGGCCCTTTAGGTATGATGAAGGGAACACTTAAGGCGTCAACATACCAAGACATTTTGGAAAATTTTATGCTCCCAACTTTGTGAGAACAGTTTGGGGATGGCCCCTTCCTGTTCCAATATGACTGCACACCAGTGCACAAAGCAAGGTCTATAAAGACATGGATGAGCGTGTTTGGGGTGGAGGAACATGACTGTCCTGACCTCAACTTGATAGAACACCTTTGGGATGAATTAGAGCAGAGACCGCGAGCCAGGCCTTCTTGTCTGACATCAGTGCCTGACCTCACAAATGTGCTTCTGGAAGAATGGTCAAACATTTCCATAGACACACTCCTAAACCTTGTGGACAGCCTTCCCAGAAGGATTGAAGCTGTTATAGCTGCAAAGGGTGGGCCAACTCAATATTGAACCCTACGGACTAAGACTGGGATGCCATTAAAGTTCATGTGTGTGTAAAGGCAGGCCGATCAATACTTTTGGCAATATAGTGTATGTGACAGGCATGGAGCTCACATCACATGTATTGGACTAAATGTGGTTTAACTGCAATGACATGGAAATTAATCCACCCATCACAACATTTATATTTATTAGTGCCACTTTTGGTTCTGGTTTCAGTTTTAATGACCCAGTTCTTAATGTGTTATGAGCTAGAGCTTTTCACTAATATTCACTATATTACCCCCAAATCCAACTCTAGCAACAAAACATAATTTTAAAGAGAACCAATCAGGATTGGGTGTATGTAGAAATGTGTCAGGCTTGTTTATTAAATCAGGTACTAGCTTTTAATAAGCTTGACACTCGTTAGAAATAACCTAACATTTAAATGTTGTGGCCCCACCTTACAAGGCACACTCTGAAAATGAAAGGTAAAATAAGGTCAGGCACATGACAAACCCTTAATTGCCAGATTTCACGTGACATCTCTGTCTCTAATTGCCCCTACTATGACAGCTATCATATTTGTGTCTAGGCTTCTTTAACATGACATTCCTATTGTTCATGTGGAATTTATCATACAAAACATCTTGTGGGAAAAAAACAGTGTTATACTGCCATCTAGTGTCCAACAAATATGCATGCGGCAGAAACCAGTTCACTATACATTTCACAGAACAAACAAAATGGCCGATGTGAGGCATGCTAAAATGAACCACAAAGCTCCCCACTGCAAAAAAATAGTTAAATCAAGCAGAAACTCACAAACCGCCAGAGAAAAGTGATTAATATTATTGATTTATATAGCTACATGATCTCCTGTGCTGTACAAATATGGAAAAGTAGTCAGTGATAAAGTAGAAGCAGAATGGGGCCCCAAGAAAGGTAGTAGCTTTGGTGATGAAAGGCCAACCCATTTGTCTGTACTGGCATTGTATGCCGGAGCATGAAAGTTGTAGCTGGGCCCTCTGGACATCCACTGGATCCTAGGGCTACGGAGTAGGTTGTCTTGTGAATAATCTGACTCTGAAAATAGTACACATACATAAATAGGGTGAGGAAGAACATATTGTGGAAACACATTGGTGTGCAGGAGGGATGGATGATTGATGCCTATGCAGGCTCATTTCACCTCTTGTAGAAAGCCCTTCAAGCAGAACTATATTCACCTAAACTCTAGCAATGTAGCGATAACTGATCATGTGTAAGGGGATCTGTGATGGGGACCCTGATGTAAGGGGGGACTCTGATGGGGACACCTGATGTAAGGTGAGCACTCTGATGGGAACATCTGATGTAAGGGGGCACTCTAATGGGGACCTTGATGTAAGAGGGCACCCTGACAGGGACTCTGATGTAAGGGGGCACTCTGATGGAGACACCTGATGTAAGGGGGCACCCTGATGGAGACACCTGATGTAAGGGAGCACTATGATGGGATCAGCTGATGTAAGGGGCACCGTAACAGGGACCCTGATGTAAGGGGGCACTGTCATGGGGACACTGATATAAGGGGGCACTCTGTAGGAGACACCTGATGTGAAGGGGGGCTTTGATAAGGACATCTGATATAAGGGTGCACAGGTTCTGTTTAATCATCCTTGTCTAATGATAGCCTAATGCATACTAGTGTTTCCCAGATCATGACACTGTGACAGCCTGTCAGTGACTCAGTGTCACGTATCTGGATAGTGAGCCTGACATGAAGAGGCAGGCTTCCCGTACAACTCTGGCTCAAGTACCGCTTATGGTGAGACAGCGGCCGCAGGGGCACGGTGGGGTATGAGTGCCTGTGATCAGTCCAGTAATAGCTGGTAAGCAGATGAGTTGTAGGCTGGAGGCAGGAAGCAGGGTTCTGATGCAGCCATGCTGGATAGATGGATACCCAAGAGCTGCGTACTGAGGATACAGGGTCAGACAAGCCGGGTTCGGTATTGGACGGGCAGATCAGACTTAAGCGGCAGGAGGAAGAGTAGTCGGGTCACAGGCCAGGTCAGCAGCAGAAGATCAATCAGACAGGAGCGAGACAGAAGGGTAATCCAAGGCAAGCCAGAGGTCAGGGCAGGTAGCGGTCAAGCGGAGGTCAGGAACAAGCTGATTCAGTATCAGGAGACAATCACAGGAATCAGGGAACACAAGCAGGGATAAGACCATACGGCAATGGGACAACTACTGCAGCCAGTTTAAATAGCCCTTTTGGCACCAGCATTAGTGACAGGCGCACACCTGTATGTGCAAGTGTGCGCGCCTATGTCCAAGCACCTGCACATCTGTTTGGCTCGTAAGGACTCTGTTAATGTGCTTATTTTTGCGTGCATATTTGTGCGCTGCGAACTTCACCTGCACTATGGGCAGGCCTTTCCTGACACTCAGACACAGTGTTGACATTATGCCCCCTGACTTTTCTTTACTGCACCTCCAG